TGATGACCATTGTTACTGGCAGTGATTAGAGCACTCCCTCCATTATTGTCTTGAATGTTAACATCAGCACCTTTTTTAAGTAACAGTTCCACAACCTGGTGATGACCCTTCCTACTAGCTACATACAAAGCTGTTTGTCCTATTTTATCTTGTACATTAGCATCAGCATTATGCTTCATTAATAATTCAATAACTTGTGTATGGCCTTTTTCACTGGCCAGCATTAGTGCTGTTGCTCCATTTTTATGAGTTTGAATGCTAGTATAAGCATGGCCTTCAATAAGTAATGATTTCACAACCTGGTCATGGCCAAGCTGACTAGCGCCTGTTAGAGCAGTCCATCCATCATTGTTTTGAATGTTAACATCAGCACCTTCTTTAAGTAACAGTTCCACAACCTGGTGATGACCATTGATACTGGCAGCCATTAGAGCAGTCCATCCATCATTGTTTTGAATGTTAACATCAGCACCTTCTTTAAGTAACAGTTCCACAACCTGGTGATGACCATTGTTACAAGCAGCCATTAGAGCAGTCCATCCATTATTGTCTTGAATGTTAACATCAGCACCTTCTTTAAGTAACAGTTCCACAACCTGGTGATGACCATTGTTACTGGCAGCCATTAGAGCAGTCCATCCATCATTGTTTTGAATGTTAACATCAGCACCTTCTTTAAGTAACAGTTCCACAACCTGGTGATGACCATTGTTACTGGTAGTCATTAGAGCAGTCCATCCATAATTGTCTTGAATGTTAACATCAGCACCTTCTTTAAGTAACAGTTCCACAACCTGGTGATGACCATTGACACTGGCAACCATTAGAGCAGTCTGTCCATTATTGTTTTGAATGTTAACATCAACACCTTCTTTAAGTAACAGTTCCACAACCTGGTAATGACCATTGTTACTGGCAGTAAATAGAGCAGTCCATCCATTATTGTCTTGAATGTTAACATTAGTACCTTCTTTAAGTAACAGTTCCACAACCTGGTGATGACCATTGACACTGGCAGCCATTAGAGCAGTCACTCCATTATTGTTTTGAATGTTAACATCAACACCTTCTTTAAGTAACAGTTCCACAACCTGGTGATGACCCTTCATACTAGCTACATACAAAGCAGTTCGTCCTTTAGCATCTTGCATATTAACGATAGCATCATGTTGTAGTAGGATCATAATAGTTTGGTCATGACCATTCACACTAGCATACATTAGTGCAGTTGCTCCTTCTTGTGTTTGAATATTAGCATAAGCGCCTTCCTCCAGTAGCATTTTCACTATCTGATGGTGATCATTTTCACTAGAAGCCATCAGTGCAGTTATTCCAATCTTGTTTTGAATGTTAACATCAGCACCTTCTTTAAGTAACAGTTCCACGATCTGGTGATGACCATTGCCACTGGCAACGATCAGAGCAGTCAATTTATTATTGTCTTGAATGTTAACATCAGCACCTTCTTTAAGTAACAGTTCCACAACCTGGCAATAGCCATTCTGACTGGCAGCAATTAGAGAAGTCACTCCATCATTGTTTTGAACATTAACAGCAGCACCTTCTTTAAGTAACAGTTCCACAACCTGGTGATGACCATTGATACTGGCAGTCATAAGAGCAGTCCATCCCTCATTATTTTGAAAGTCAATATCAGCACCTTCTTTAAGTAACAGTTCCACAACCTGGTGATGACCCTTCATACTAGCTACATACAAAGCAGTTCGTCCTTTAGCATCTTGCATATTAACAATAACATCATGTTGTAGTAGGATTATAATAACTTGGTCATGACCTTTCAAACTAGCATACATTAGTGCAGTTGCTCCTTCTTGTGTTTGAATATTAGCATAAGCGCCTTCCTCCAGTAGCATTTTCACTATCTGATGGTGATCATTTCCACTAGAAGCCATCAGTGCAGTTACTCCAATCCTGTTTTGAATGTTAACATCAGCACCTTCTTTAAGTAACAATTCCACAACCTGGTAATGACCATTGTTACTGGCAGTAAATAGAGCAGTCCATCCATTATTGTCTTGAATGTTAACATTAGTACCTTCTTTAAGTAACAGTTCCACAACCTGGTGATGACCATTGACACTGGCAGCCATTAGAGCAGTCACTCCATTATTGTTTTGAATGTTAACATCAGCACCTTCTTTAAGTAACAGTTCCACAACCTGGTGATAATTATTGACACAGGCAATCATAAGAGCTGTCATTCCGGTTTCATTTCTATAATCAATGTCAATTTGCAATTGTAAAAGTAGCTCCATTTGCATTAGGAAACCTGATTCAGCAGCATCAAGAAAAAATTTTTCAAAAATGATTTCATCAAATGATTTCAGAATAAAATGATCATTAACACTCATTTCAATTATACCAATTTGCTGCATGAAATTAATTTGTGATGATGCCTTTTTAATAAGTACTTCAGATTGAACAATTGGAGCTAAATATTTGATGCATATTGATCCTTTCTCAATGCGAATGTGACTCAGCACTCTACTATTATCCCTGAAGATATAGTGGATGACTTTCTTAAAGCTTGCTAATATTACTGATCCCCACCTTCTGTCAAGTTTAAAGACAACTTCACAAACTGCATCAGTTGAGTCATGAGTGGGATTTATTGTTTCTTCTATAATATTTAATATATGCTGCAGAGAAGATGATTTTTCAAATGTGTTTAATTTTTTCATGTAATTTCTTAGTTTACTTTGTACATCACATTTTGCAGACAAAAAAACTCCAGCTATTTCATGAATCAAGTCACAGTTAAGAAATGAATAATGCGGCTTAATCTTGCTAAAAAGGTGATCGGCACTTGTTATATTGGATAGACCAGGTATACTGAAATATTCCTCAATATATATGCATATAATCTTTATTTCTTTAGTGCTGGTGGATTCAGCTAGAACTATTCTGATTTGTGTTACCAAAGAAGCAAAGTCTCTTTTTAGATTTTGAATATTTTGTAAAACTTCACTTTCTGAACTGATTTTGACAGTTACTTCATTTTGAGCTCTTTTAATGCTAACTTGACTTTCATGTATTGAATCTGTTAATAAAGAGAATTAAACATTTAATTAGCAATGCTCATACTTTTAGATTCTTTATCTGTCACTTCATGTATATCAGAATGTAACTGTATTAGTAGAGGAACATCTAAAAAGTTGTCTTAAAATATTATGCATCATAAAAGATATTTATTTACTGTGGTCATTTGATAGTCTATCAGAAATTACAGTTAGCCCAACTTTTTGTAGTGAAGTAATGAAAGACAAGAATACACCACCAGGATTAGAATGGGTCTTAAGTATTGACAATAATGAATAAACTAATTTATTAGCTCTGTCATAAGGAGAAATGCTAGTATTCTGAACTGCAATATGTACTGCTTCAGGAATACATTTGAGTGAAAAAAGAGAATCATTTAATTGAGATATTACGTCAACATTTCCAGCTAGTGTGATACAGATATTGGCTAAATTCTTCTTTAATGTGTCATACTCTATTTTATTTCATATAAAATTAATTTGTAACATACATTCATTTTTTACCCCTTTCTGTTGATGAACCAGTTTCATTGCTATGAGGAGACATAGGCTCAGGCTGGGAAATTTTTTCTTGCAATGAAATTGACAAAGGATGTTGCTCTGGCATTGTTCTGTTTTGTTCTTGAATTTTATTTGTGGCATCAGACGAAACAACTTCACGTGAAAAGTCTACAGACACTGCATACATCAGATGTAAAATCAATAGAATAATTTAAATGTATTACCTTCTTCTAATTGAAGTTCAATATTGAGCCATTCTGCTGATAATTGACTATGGACATTTTCACAGGTTCCACCTTGAGATAAAATACAACCAAGAAATAGCTCATAACGGTCCATCAACTGTGATACATCTTGTATTGAGTACAGGTCAGTCATTAACTCATCAATAATTCCAGGGTATGTTAATGGAATTGATTGAGATATTAAGCTAACGGCAAAGATCTGAGCAATTGCTTCTTTCATGTAGTAATTTGATGCTTTCTCTAATTCATCAGAATGCATACGAAGGGACTCCTCAATCAGCTTACAAACTATTAACAATTAATCAATTAAATCTACGGTGCATTTCATACTTACCTTGTTCAATAGTGATAGGACCAGGATTCAGTTCCACATCTCCTGATAGGAGAATGATCAACTGAAATAATAAAAATACAAGAAGAAAGCAAGAGCATCCAACAAGCCACGAAAATTTTACACCACACAGCCCAGCAGCAGTACCAGTAGTTTGATTATTCATCCCGTCTAGAGGATCGGTTACCTCAGGCTGATGGCTATTGCTGTGTTGTGACTTCCGTGACTCTGCTCCGCGTCGGTGACTGCTAGATAAACGACAGTGCCACAGACCAATGGCAGCTCTCCACTGAGAAAGATCAATCATTGCTGTGTAAAGCAGGCTGAAGGAAAGGAACGAGGGGATGAAATAGGCTAAGTCTGTCAAAATAAGAAGGCTCTTTACTCTTTGGTATGTATACAGTATATACAGACTTGGAAATTATGTGACACTCCTACTGGTGAAAGGAGGAGCTAGAACTACATAAATCTATCTATCTATATATCTATATGTACAATCAAAAAATTCAAAATTGATGTTCAATTAGTTGTGATAGTTATATTCTTTCAGATAGCCATATTGCTGTCTTACATCCAGTTCTTATTATTTGTGAGAATATCTCATAAGCAGGAGCCTATACAAAAATAACATATAACATAACAATGCATAATACATAATTGCAGTATTACTTGTTCAGCATCATGTTCTAAACCAGTTTCAAGATGATCCAACTCGTCATCTCTACAATCCTTTATACTCTAATAATAATTTAAAAAGACCACTAACAATAACAATAAACAAGAGCTAGTGTACAATAATGCACTACATTATTGTTAAAATATCAGTAGTATGAAAAAAATAACAAGTAAAGATAACAAGCGCACGAGTATACTTTTAAAAGTTCTTCATCTTTCTCTTCTCTATTCAACAGCTCCCTTAGCTGACTATGTAAATAAAATAACAATTTATTGTTTTGTGAGGCTCAGTCAATAACATACTCATTATAATGCTCTCCAATTGCTTGTTCAACAGCAACAGTACAAGCCATTGCTGCCTCTTTACCTAATAGTGCACTACCAGCACCTGATAACAGGAGAGAGGGAGAGGAGGGGGAATAGGACAAAGGAGAGAAGGGAATATATTCAAGTTATCAATGAGTAATTACAGTGACTGTTATATCATACCCAGTGCATATCCAGCTATGTTCCACAGAGGCATCAAAGCAGTTGGTCTCACTCTTCTTTCCTTCACTAGTCTTTCAAATAATTCCAAATGAGCTTTCTCTTGCTCCCACATATGCTATAATAATAATAATAATAATAATAACAATAATAATAATAATAATAATAATAATAATTTATGATTCATAATAGCAGGAAACAGAGTCAATAGGCTGCTGATTGCAAGTTCATTTTTTATTTTAAATTTTCATAAATTAACAAACTGTTTTAACACCTTGTTCACACCCTCTGAAATGTGAACAAGCTTGTAAAACAGTACAACTAAAAATTCCCCCAAAAAGTGTTTTAATAACAATGCTATCAATCAAAACTCATCAATTTACAGGAGGATATACTGTACATACCTTTACTACTGGACCAGCTGAAGGATGAGTTCCCAGTACTGCCATTTGTCCAGTGTATATTCTATCAGCTCCATACTCTCCAGCATGATCCACTCTTATAATCCTGTCTATTGCTGGGTGAGGACGAGGAGTAGAATAATACCTACACCTCAACAAAGAAACTGCCAATCTTCTGACTTTCATCATCTTTCATAATAATTTAATAAATTAAATAGCCCAGCCCACCTGTTAATAGTGTTAGCCACACCTGTGAACTGAGTAATTATTAATCATATTTATTTTTAATATTAAACACTATTTTTCTTTATTTATAGTTTAGTGTATCAAATACAGACTCCATTGGGTCTCTACTGAGTCCATCCAGGACTTTCCTTGTTGCAGTAGATATCTTCTTCTTCTGCTTGACTTTCTTGTCTTGTTTCTGGGCCATCATTAGCTTAATCGTTCTCCGATACTATTAAACGATAATAATTATTTATTACTTTGTAGATGCTCACAGCATTTGGTGTCTGATAGTGTGGGTTTTGATACAGCGTGGCTCCTCCAAAGCTACCAGAAAATATTTTAATTAAATTTAGAGTGAATCTAGGGCCAATCTCTGTCAGTGTCTTGCCATCATCAACAATCTAGAAAAATAATAAAAAATTATAAAAGCTTTATTTATACACCAAAAAACTACAATAATAGTCTTGCCTGATAGTTTCTGAACCAGATATGATTGTCAAGGAGACCAAAGTGAAACATGTGATCAATGAATGGTTTGCTCTTTGGATGGTAGTAAGGAGTACTGAATATTTTAATAAATAATTCCTTTAACAGTGAATAGTGAGGCGAACCAGTGAAAGACTTTGTATTATAGAGACAGTGAATGTATTAATGATAATAATGTAGGGAGGGATCTTACTGGATCAAATGAGAGAAGTGGACGTGATCCTAGAAGACAGTTACCAGTTAATTTCAATTCATTCATCGTGTGAACTAAAAAATAATAACATCATTAGATCTACATACGTTTACATTAGTACACTATACAATAGAAAAGTATTGCAAGAACTTTCTTTTTTTCCAGGGGTCATTGCTTTTATTTTTAAAATGGATCATTTTTTTTAAATGCTCATAACTCAAAAATTTTTTGCTGGAAGCGGCTCAAACTTTGTGCATAGCATAAGGACATCAATATTTATCAGAAAATGTAATAAAAATTTGGGGTGATTTCGAAGCCATTCTTCGGAAAAACCATGGGCTATAGTCTTGGGTAATTCTCAAAATTTGGGTTGTTTTTTTAAAATGGCCATAACTTGAAAAGTTGAGATCGGAATCGACTCAAACTTTCTACACATCATAAGGACATTAATATGTATCAGAAAATGTAATGAAAATTTGGGGTGATTTCGGAGCCATTTTTCGGAAAAACCATGGGCTATAGTCTTGGGTATTTTTCAAAATTTGGCTTGTTTTTTAAAATGGCCATAACTTAAAAAGTTGAGCTCGGAATCAACTCAAACTTTCTACACATAATGAGAACATCAATATGTATCAGAAAATGCAATAAAAATTTGGGGTGATTTTGGAGCCATTTTTTGGAAAAACCATGGGCTATAGCCTTGGGTATTTTTCAAAATTTGGCTCATTTTTTAAAATGGCCATAACTTGAAAAGTTGAGCTCAGAATCGACTCAAACTTTCTACAAATCATAAGGACATCAATATGTATTAGAAAATGTAATGAAAATTTGGGGTGATTTCGGAGCCATTTTTTGGGAAAAACCATGGGCTATAGTCTCTTGGGTATTTTTCAAAATTTGGCCCATTTTTAAAAATGGCCATAACTTGTAAAATTGAGCTCGGAATCGACTCCAACTTTCTGCATAGCATAAGGACATACTTTCAGCTTATTCTAATCAAAATTGCATTCTTAATGAACTCTTAAGTTGCTCAAAAATTTGGCTAAAGACCCTGTACTACTGCAACTTTGCAAATAAGTAAATGCTAATACTGTAGAGTGTTACCATTTTCTACTAGAAACTTTGCCGAGGGACCATTTGGTAAATGAGAAATCCTAAAAGAGTTAACTTATAATTCAGTTTTATAAAAAAATAACTTACCACATGTAGAGATCTTTTCTTTTTCTCATTTCAAAGAAAATGCACTTAGTACAGTTCTTCATTTCACACAACTAATGAGACAAAATAAACAGGAATATAACCAATATTTTAACATATTATTAAATAAAAGCAAGTACCTTAAGCCTACTATTTTTAGCGTCTACTAAATTTAGCTATATTAGCGAGAGAGCTTTAAATCGCTAAATTAAATAGACACCAAAATAATAATTATTCATTATAATGGTTATTATTTATAGTTAATTTGGTTAAAAATGCTAAAATTAGTAACGCTAAACATAAATTTTGCTGATTTCGCTAAAATTAGTAGACGCAAATAATAGTAGGCTTAAGGTATCTTATTGATATGTGTGTATGTGGACAAACTTCAACAAGAGATGAAAGGTCATCTTTCCTATCAAGCTTGTTATCTGTGTGTGATGAAAGTGTATAAAATTCATTTGCTTGTTAGCAGTGTTAGTGCTAGCACTGCATTAACACGTTGCATCAAAAGAATGTTAATTACCTGATCTTGAGTGAGGGAGCAACGTCTTAATGTCATTCATTAAGTGACGAGATCTAAAATTAAATAATTATAGAGTATTTAATTAATTAGTGAGGATTCAATTAACACCCACACAAAAAGGTGTAGCTAAATGTAACGAGGTCGAGGGTTACTGTACCTGTATGTAACACCACGAGCACATAGAATTAATACTCGAGTCTTATTCTTCCATTTCTTGGCCTAAACAAAATTAAATTTACATAGCATGCTTCAAATTCAAAGCACAAATTCTTCAATGCCTTTTTGTCTAGAGGTTCCCCATCTTCTATTATTAATAATGGCGGATCTTTAGTATCTGTCTCCCTCTTTCTCTTTTTCCCTTTCTTGCTTTCTTTACTGGGAACAAAACGAACCTGACCTGTTGCTTCTTCCACGTGTTCCTCCATTGCAAAAGTTAATAGTTAACTAACCAGTGTTGAATAGTTAACTAACTAGAAATTTATAACTTGAGGAATTTAATTAACTGCCCCACCCAGCCCAGCCTACTGTATCATCTGCATCAGATAAACACACTAGGAGCACTCAAGCTACAGCAAAGGCTACAAGGTGTTGTAGTCATACCAAACAGCAAGTCAGCGGTATAAAACAGCATACTCAAGGCCGTTAATGATGGATGCTAGTCTGACGGACTCTTTTGAAGTAAACTGGAAGCAAACTGAAGGAACTGGTGGTGGTGAGGATTCATTGCTAAGCGATCTGCTTGTATCAGGAGGAGAAATAGAGGGAATGTTTCAGCAGAAGAGAAAACAAGAGAAGGACAAGAAAGCAAACAAGAAGAGTGGTTCGAATGGCCTAAAAGATCCAGTGATTGTCCTCAAAGACAGGCTCTCCATCTACAATGACAAGAAGGATAAGAAGTACTGGCTCACACTCAATGAAGAGGTAAGAATCCCCCAAATGCCAGAAGCATGAGGGATTAGGGTGTTGTTCATAATATTAATTAAGCTAATTTGTCTGATATGCACCTTTTCATAGCTACTTATTGTCAGCCCCTTTGATGATCTCCCTGGCATGCTTGCATACATCTTGCTAGGTTGTCCACAAAGCCCAGTCCCAAACAACCCACTGCTTGTTATGCATGTATGCATACAAGAACACAGCATCAAGGAGTAGTTTATTTGTTCCCAGGCTTTATAGCAGTAAAACTATAATCACAATAAAGCCTGTCATCCTTTCTGACCGGTAGCCTTGGAATGCAGGATAGAGTACACAGTGACATTCTAGAGCCCCTAACTAACTCCCACACTCTCACTGCTATGTAAGCTGCTACTGATGTTAGTGTAGGCTGCCCATGAAGGCAGTAGCTTATGATTTTTACCGAATCAAGTATTAAGGCGATTGGAATGATCATGTTGTAGTAAAGTTCACAACCTCCTACACGCTATGCCTCACTGTCTCTTTGTAGCTCTTAGCCTAGAATAAATAAAGCTACTCCTTATACAGTAATGACTGTAATGACTTAAAGAATTTTATCAAACAAAAAACAAGATGGAGTGACGATAATATTAACATATGCAGTGCCTGGCCATGCACAAAGAATTTGTATATGCATTGTTATTCTCGACATGACAAGCCTAGCTAGCATTGCTGCATAAAATTTTTGCTGTGTGAGAAATGTGACACATAGTTGTTGGAATCCTGTTTGTGTTATGACTTTGTTTCTCTATCTATTATTTGGTGTCCTAATAGCTTAATTTGGCTATGTCTAATATGGATGTACACACAGTGAAGCATTATCATGCTTATATATATGTCTTGTATACGTGAGCATATCGATGGGGTATGATGGGACCAGGTGGTAGCTGAATAGTAATGTATTGACTTGAAGTGTCAGACCATTTATGGGGAGTAAATTTATTTTTAACATGAGAGAGGCAGCTGTTGTTTGTCACTACATGCCTAGGAGAGCACCAGTGACAATATTAGTAACACAAAATAGCTCAAATGAGCTAAATAGACTTGCTAATGACTATACTAACAGGAGAGAGACAGAGTATAAGATCAAGTCATCTTTGTACTGGTAGCAGTATTGATGTATAAACAATAAAGTAAGCTTCTGTCAGCTGTATCAAATGATGTATTACTTAGTTTAGAGTAGCGTGTGTGACATGTTATTGCCCTTTCCTTAAATGGCCCTCTACTTGTCATAAAGCAAGTATAGTATATCTCTGTGTGTGTATGTGTGTGCAATGGGCAGAGAATGTTATGACTCATTTAACCATATAATGATGCTCTACCAATACACCTCCTATTAAAGAAAAGTACAAAATCAAATGACATACATTTGTATGACGACTATTGAGTATCGGTTAGTTAGAATATCCTCATTTCTTACTGATTCCATGGCATCTTTTTGGTGGAAAGAATGACAACAATTTATCCACTGAACATAGCAGTATACAGCTTCAGTCTATGCCAAAGGTTTCTATTTGTACTTTATTCATTCATATGTACATAAACCTATGGGGGTGCACTGGTTGAATTAATGTCAGTGATGTGGCTGAAATTATAAATGTGTTATCTTTCCCTTTTTTATTTTGTCTTGGGCCTAGGGTGGATAAAGTAGCCTAAGTGCATAAGAGAGTCAACAAACAATGATTCGTAATACAAATATATGAACAATATATTGTCTACACCCTAATTGGCTTGAGAGTTACTCATTTAGGATTCCTTTGTGATTTGAAAAGGCATTTCCCTTGCAATTTGGTAGACACAGTAAGCCAGTGCCCACTGCCCATTATGACTAGATGCACTATACGCTACAAACCAGCTCGACTCACTTATTACTACTATTATGAGAATTCCGTGTCTAATTTATCTACTACTTGTATTGTAGAGTTGCAAATAGTTTTGTATTATGCCGCTGTTGTTATGTAAACTAATGTATACCCAGAATTAGGTTAGAGGGGATTAATGAAGTAGTGTTTGCATACAAAGGGAATGCAGAGCTATTGAATTTTTACTTTGTGAAATGACAGAACTTGTGTGCGTCTACAATAGAGTGGCATTTAGTATTAGGTGACAGGAAATATCTTACCCAGAGTATAGAGTATAATTCAGCATTCTCATAGGATTGCTGTCTCATTATTTTATATTAATATCACGTGTCATGTTGCAATACTAAACACATGATATCTTTCTTTATATACAGGATCTCACTTACAGCGGACTTATTGCTTTCCATTACAACAATGGCTACCAGATCCTTTTGGAGGACGTTAAAGTTAAAAACACGGACAATGCCTCAAGTCTAATTCCTATACTCCTCTCCCACTTTCTGCCTCAGTCGGAGCTAGTGGCCACACAAGCTGAAACGAGCAGTAGCTATATTGTATTAACACAAGGAGGAAGTGAGCATAATTCTGTTATTAATTACTTAACATTGTGTGTGTGACAGTGTATTGTGTTACCATTATATCACTTCATTCATTACATTATGCATGTAGATATGCATACAGGCACCCACACACACACACACATGTTATGTAAAATCCCTATAACTTGATCTCAGTTCCTGGACAATTGATCCATTCCCATTACATATGTGTTCATATATGTGAACTCTGTCATCTAATATCCTTTTATCTTTCTTATATAGTTGAGAGAGAATTAGACAGAGCAGAAAAGCCACTAGAAGTTGCTCTAGACTGCTCCATCAAAGGACTCCTTTTTCCTACCTTCACTCTAAAGACCTCAATCTCTCTATTACTCCAACTCCCAAACACTCCACAACACTTACGTAAGAAACTCTCCTCCTCCTCTCTAGCTACTAGCTCTCACTCAAGTCTCGGTCATGTATCATCAGAAGGGAGTGAGTCCCCACGAGTCACTGAAGCTAAAATGATCCCAATGAATGATGAGACACAGTATACTCACAGTAATAACAACAGTGGTACTAGTACTTCGTATTCATCAATGACACATCCTCCAAGAGGAGGAGGAGGAGGAGGGGCATCTCGGTCTCTCTTCAAGTCTCGTACTCAAGCTAATAACTCAAAGCAAAAAACTCTAGAGTTGACTAGTGCCAAGGTCAGTGATAGCTCTTTAAACTCGCCAGTAGGTACTCCGACAAGTCTTGTTCCAGACAAGCGCTCAAAATCTAAAATGGGGAATTTTGTGGAGGGAGTTGCTCGTTCATTTAAATCAAAACGAAAGCCAAGACCAACTTCAATATATCCTGAGAATGCAGGTCAGGTGGTCAGTCTGAGAGGGACCAACAGCTCTGCTGTGTTACCAGCTGGTACACAACAAGCAGAGAGACGATTCACCATGCCAACAGTACTCCACATACACTATTCAAATGCTAAGAATGCCCAGCTGTACAAGAGCGTCCTCGTTTCTGAGAAATCCTCTACTCAAGAGGTCATCAAGCAGGCGTTGGACAGGTACGGGATGAAATTTGCTGACCCAACTGAGTTCCTGCTAATGGAAGTGACTGGACGCTGGGAAACCATGGCATCAAATTCACTGGAGACTGGGCTAGAGCAAGGACTAGGTGCTCTTGTGACCCCACTAAGTCCTGGGAACCCTGCCAATGCGAAGACTATATCAATGCCAGCTTTTGAAGAGTTTATCATATGTCACACGAGAGCTCTGACAGAAAACGAGCGACCGTACAACGTTCAGTTCTACCACCAACCACCCCCGGGCCACACGAGACGATTTGAATTGAAATCGAAATATGATGAAGAAGAGTTAGAGGAAGAGGAAGAAACAGGCGAAGAAGACAAGCATTTATTAAACAAGGAATTGCCAGGCTCTGTTCCAACCACACCTCTATTCGGGAGCACATCTCACCACAAGACAAAGAAAGAGAACAGATTAGGTAGTGAAGACACTCTCTCATACTTGACCACTTCAATATTAAAAGATGATAATGAGAGAGATGAGACAATTTTCTCTGCATCACTTCCGTCACTTTCATTTTTGGACTGCACTTCTCCTGATTATGCACTTGAGCCTCAGGCGGCACAGAATGACTCGCAATCTCAGACGCCCTCGCTCGTTAATTTACGATTAAACTATAACAAGGACGAATTGATTGTTTACTCACTTACACACAATAAGTTCGCCCTCACAACAAGCGAGCATGTTATTACGACGCTCCAAGACCACCACCAAATCAAACTAAATGTCACAAGAGGTGGACCGATCCTCTGCTGCCTTCAGTACAATACTAGAGAGCATAATTATAATGTAGAGCCTTACAATGCTACCATTAGTGTGAGTGGTGTTAGAGTCAGTGATAAGGTCACACTACAGCATGGGGATCTACTGCAAATTGGAGACACTCACTTGTTTATGTATCAGAATTTCTCTCAGCAGCAAGCTAGCGGTAATGGTTGGCCTTTCTCTTGGTATCCCTCACCAGTCAAGACAACAGGAGCTTCGACAGTATCCACTTCAAAGATAGGAGAACTGAGGGACACTGAGACTAGCCATATCCATCCAATCTTACCCCAAATAATAACAACTCCAGTTCACGAAACAACAGTGGCAGAGCCCCAATCTGCTGTGCCTGATTCCTGCGTTACAGTAGGAGAGCAGAGATATGAAGAGAGATACGACTTTAATAATAGGAAGCCTCTACCTACTCTGAGAGAGATTGAGCACAGTGATGAAGAGGAGTCACACGATGAGCCTGATGGACGGCCCAGTTACCAAAGGGCCAGGAGCTACTCTGAGGGTCAAGTCAAGGCAATGTTGTCTCCTTCTGGTAGCCCTAGTCGTCGAAACAACAAACCATCTTCCTCTTCTTTCTTTGTAAGACATCAAAGGGGCACTGCTTCACCTAAAAACAGACCCTCCAGCTGCTATTCTCTTTTATTTCATCACTTGTCGTCAAACGAGGACTCTATTCTTGATCTCATCATAAATGAGTTTCAACCAAAGTCAGTTCCTGGTTTCCCTCTTGCTCCCACGTACACACTGGCACTGTGTCTGGAGCAGTATCTGAGAGAAGAGGACGGGAAGAAGAAGGCCAGTAGTCTCATGCGTAAAGTAGTTCTCTCTCTCCAACATGTTGTCTGTGTAAGTTATTTTCTGTTATAATAATAATAATAATAATAATCCTGTTAGTTTATCATACTTTTACTTGATGATGCTTTAAGCTAAAGATTACTGGTGCCACTACTAATAAATTAGGCTCTCTCTACTCCTCTATAAACTCCAATTTGTTTGTGTATCTCTCTAATTTGCTTCATAATTGTTATTCATTCCTATACCTGCCCCAATTTTGCAGTACTACTAACAATATTAGAACTGATACTACGACCTATATTAATAGTAATTTTTTGCTTATAGTAATCAACATCATTTGTAACATCACACGATGCATACTTCACTAATAGTATTATGTTATTATTTAGGATATTACTAATGAATCATTATGGCAAGCAACAACCGAAGAAGATATGTTAAAGTATGTACTAGGAAAATAATCATTTTACCATCTCTCTCTCTTTCTCTCACTCTCTCTCTTTCTCTCACTCTCTCTCTCTCTCTCTCTCTCTCTCTCTCTCTCTATCTATCTCTCTCTTATGCAGTACCAATCCATTGGCTGCCATCCAGCCACTCCTTCATTCCGTATTGTTTTGGTTCTCAAACTGCCTCGAGGTTTATAACTATTTTCTAACACAAGAGACCCTAAAGGACATATTGTTTGGCGATGAGGAGGAAGAGGAGAGCCCACTGACTCTTCTAGAGACAATGATACATAAACTATTTGAGCAAATATTCTATCCAGTCAGCAAGGTGATATGCCTATTATATTAAGGCATGCAGTTTTTATTACTTGTATCCTATTTTCTTTAGATATTATACTCTATCTTACCTATGATGCTTGATGAAGTCCTCCATCATAGTGGTCCCTCTGGAGTTCCATTGGTTTCAGTGGATCAGTCCATCAGTTGCTTAAAGGAGGTCCTTGATATGATGCTTGAGCTTCATGTCCACACTGAGGTAAAGAAAGACATAGCCAGTCAATGCTATAAGGTTTCATTTGTGTGTCTCTCTCTCTTTCTCTCACAGATGATAGCTCATTTCTTTTCAAGTGTGTTCTTTTTCCTAAACGCTGCTCTCTTTAACACGTTCATTGATCAAGGACCAGAGATGGGATTATTCAAATACTCTAGAGGAACTAAAGTATTAAAAAATAATTAAATGACAAAATACCATTTATTTTCCATCATTCTTTACAGTTAAGGATGAGTCTAGACAGATTTGAAGGCTGGGCTGGGATTGTTGGGTTCAGGGACATTGTATTTCAATTTCTGGCCACATTCTCATCTGCCATTGACCTCATAGCAATATCACCTCATGAACTAATCAAAGTAAACAAACAAACAAATAAATAAATAAATAAATGAATAAATAAATAAATAAATAAATAAATGAATAAATAAATAAATGAATAAATAAATAAATAAATGAATGAATAAATAAATAAATGTGACCATAATTGACAAAAGGGCCCTTATGGCGGATTTTAAAATTGATCGTTATAATGGAAAATATCAACCTGTAAGTGCTTTGTTAGACAATCATTGTTTCTAAAAGTTTCATGGTAACTTTTTGCATCCTGTGGAGTAATTTTATGATAAATGGGGCTCAGGAAGTTGGATTTCTTAGGCTAGAAAGACAAATTTCACCACCCGCCATAAGGTACCTTTTGTCAATTATGGTCACAAATGATAAATAATAATATTGTATATGTACAATATTATTTTTCTTGTATATTGTTGTTATTGTTCCATTGTTTCTATTGTCTCTTCATTCAGTTCTCTTGGGATACACTGAGACAAGAGTTTCCCTGTCTTCATCCTGTACAGCTGAACCACATATTAACTCACTACATTCTTCCCAAAGGATTAGAAGGCAACAACATCCCTTGGGCCCCGTCAGAAGAAGATTCAAGACAAATTGAAAACAAAGGCAAGTGAAATCAATAAAGAATGTTGGGATTAGATACTTTATCTGTCAATCAGATACTGCTAGATATACTTCTACACTTGGTATTATTATATAATTCTTATTTATTTTTAGAAATGCTTCACGAGTCGTTTGAGTCCCATCCAGACTTCTACCTTCCGATCACTGGGTACTCGCTGGATCTCAACTGTCAACTCCAAGAGGATCATTTGTTGCAAGACTTTGCAATGTCACTTCAAGAAAAACTGATAAAGAGAAAAAGTGAGTGATTCCAATAGCAAGTTTTTGACTTGAGAGTTAAGATCCTGGAATAGGGTATTTCGTCAAAAATTTTAATGAGAAAATTCTCCATTTTTATGATTTTTTCTGATGCATATACATGTCCTTATGTTGTGTAGAAAGTTTGAGCTGATTCAGATCAAAATTAGATTTTTTATGATTTTTTAAAGTTACTCCAAAATCAGGCCAAAGTCCCTGTACTATAGTACAGGGTCTCGAGCCAAATTTCACCAAAAATGACAAGGAGAGAATTTTCCATTTTTATAATTTTTTCTGATGCATATACATATCTTTATGTTGTGTAGAAAGTTTGAGCTGATTCAGATCAAAATTGGATTTTTTAATGAATTTTTAAAGTTGCTCAAAAATTTGGCTCACAGCCCTGTATAGTGTTTATGATTTCTATCTCACTTTTTTTAGGAACTAGCAGTGTAGATTCTCCGGCACGTCATTCCCAGTCTCCATTAGCTAAAAGGAAGACCTCAAAACCATCTCTTGATGTATCCGATATTGTCAGAGACAGTCCGGACTTTTCAAAGTCTCCTCACAGGTAAAATATCATCTATCATAAAACACAACTAATACTGCATGAGTATTACTGCCTGTACTTTTACAATAAAAATGCAAAGTTACAGCTTTGAATTTACAAATGTTTCCTTGCAATTCCCATTGATCAAAATGATAAAAAATTACTTTTAATCATTACTTTATCTCCAGGCAAAAATCGGCCAAGGTTAAGAAAGTCAGAAGAAGATCGGCCAACAAAGAATCTGCTCCGTCTGAACCACCTGGAGAGCTAAGAGGACGAGTAAAATCAATTGTAGCAACGAATATAATGATACTACCAGAGAAACTAACAATAATAGCAGCGGACCAGGGGCAGAGAGAAGAAGAGAGAGAAGATGACTACGAGGACTACGACTTTGAGAAATGGGTCAAAGAGACTTTCCCTGAAGGCTCAAACCTGATCAGCTTGCAGAGGAGTCACAGAGGATTTGGGTTTACCTTAAAAGAGAAAAAGGTGAAAAAAAATAAATTATATAAGATTTTAAATATAATTACATTTGACAGGGAAGGAAAGGATTATACCTTGAGATTGATGATACAGATACACTTGATGAAAATGTGAGTCAATTATTATAACACTAGCTACTTATTTCATATCTTTTGTTCCATTTGTTACAGTCTGCAGATATTAGGACTGGAGACCAAGTGTTGGCAATTGATGACCTTGTGGTAGCTGAAACCGACTATGCCATGTAAGCTAAGGAAAAAAATTATGCATTACACATGTATAAACATGATTGTTATGATTGCTGTTGTTATAGGATAATGAAGTATTTTAAAGAAGCAGAGGAAGAGATAAGTATTGTACTCGCTCCATCAAATCAGCAATGGAACACACTTTAGAAAGAACATGTTTATCTCAATATACAATTCACACACACACTGCATACATTGACGGCTCTAAAATTATTATTATTATTATTATTATTGTTGGTGACTGGACAAAAAATGAATTTTTATCATTATTATAATTATTAATCATTGTGTAATTTAAATGTATTGAATGAGAAGATAATTATTAAACAAAAAATAGCACACAAACAAAACGAAAAATGATAATATATTATAATGATAATCATCAAATGTGTGCGTGTACAAGAGTGAGTAAAATAGCACTCTGAAATATTCTTGCATGCGAAATGTTCCAATATAGCATATTATTCATACAACGTGTATCTTTATTGAGAGGAGGAAGAGGGAGAGAGAGGGAGAGTCGAAGGCAACTCAATCTTTGCGACATCGACAACACTAAAATAAGGATTACCACCGACAACAATCAAGGAAGAAGATGAGATAGAAGTGGCGCAGCATAATTTTCGCGAAGCATGCATTTTCTGTACTAGCGTCCAACTATGCAACTCATCCTCGGGGAAGTAAGACCAGATCCACTCAGAAGGTTGGGATACAGAGACAGTTGTTTCGTTTCCCCCAAGAGCAAGGAGGTACCCGTTAAAGAGACACAGTGTCATCATGGTGTAGGGACAGTCTGGATGAAACTCCCAGAGGTTTGATGAAGTAGTGGTAAGCCGGTTCATCCTGCTCATGGTTGCCAGGAGGCGGTCCATGGCTACAGAGAAGAAACTCCTAGAGAGACCCTCGTTGGTGAGCCCACCCATCACATACAACCGACTCCTATATATAACAGCAGAGCTACCAGCTACCCCAAAAGGAAGAGGGAAGGCCGTGCTCCATTGCTGTGATGGTAAATGAAGTATCTCTACAGTGCCAAGTATGCAACTGGAGTTGTTGATCCCTCCAAGAACTATAAGATAGTCTCCCCATGATACTGCAGTGGCTGCTGATCTCGCCGTGGGTAAAGGAGGCAGTACCTCGACCCACGCATTCTCTTCTAAGTCGTAAGTGAGTAGTTGCCGAGTACATTTCTGATCCTCAACTGAGATGCCCCCGATAATGACTAGCTCCCTGTTAATGATGGAGGAGGCATAATAAAACTGAGGGGTTGACTCGGTTAGTTTAGTCCATGAGTTAAGCTGCTTAGAGGAACAGTAATAAACATTAGTATTAGGGGAACCAGTGGCTGTGGCACCTCCACACAAGTACACACGAGGACTGGAGAGATAAACTCTGAGAGTTACTCCTTGAAGACCTTCCAAAAGACAGCGGTGGCTCGTCCAAGCAAACTGACCCGATTTGAGTATCCTCTTGTTTCTCTCACGCTCTGCCTCAGAGAGGGCATGGTTCGTTATAACGGCGTATCCTTCCTCGGATTCTTCATCGTTTATTTCCTCTTCCTCCTCCTCCTCTTCCTCCTGGACAGGAGTGTCACCTTCTCCTTTTGAGCTGGTTTCACTCGACTTTTTTGACTTCTTCTTTCTCTTCAAGGCAGAGCGGAGCCTACTCGATAGTTTCTTACTATCAGTAGCTGAAGCACTGGCCCCTCCACTCATAGCAGCAGCACTCATCACCTACAAAGGGAAGAATCTCTCATTGAGCATTGACAATACAATCGTACATGTACATGTAGTTGTACATGTACAAGAAAATTTATTGTAATGATACAGTACATTGGTTTGTTCTCTATTGTAAAGGTTAAACCACATAGAGTCCTGCTGGCATAGTATGATTTCAAAAAGGAACTAAATTATCATGTTTGTATGTCTTTACACAAATGGGGAGTAGCCCTCTGTGCATGGATAGTTATACTATACTTACTCATTCTCTCCCACTAATCCACTATCATTTTCCATTGTTACATTCATTCTCTCACACATTATTATTCTAGCCTAGAGTCTATCAAAATTATTCTAATGTACAATAGCTCAGTATATAAATACTATCACATGCAGAGTGTATCACATGCAGAGTCACCAGTCAGTCACACCACTGACTCACTGCTAATGCACATATATAGAAGAAAAGCTTTTTATCTATATATAGTTGTGTATGGAGGTAATGTATTTACAGTAAGTGAAGAGCCTTCAGTTGTTCCAAGGAGCTGCTCCTTCAAGTGTAGATTCTGTTGCTGCTGTATGGAGAGATCATGAGATAATCTTTCTGCTTCTCCTTTCTATAAAGAAGACAAACACATAACAGATGGCACACACATTTACATTGTGTATTAAAGGATTGGCAATCCTCATGATAAATAATACATAGTCTTTCACTTGGTCACACTGTACATATGCAGAGTCTGTTGGCTATTTAGCTCCATTCACTCCCTAACACTACCGTACATACATATACTGATACAAAGTAAAAGATGTATCCATGTACATGTACACACAATAATACTCAGACATAACAATAAATGCAGCCATCCAGAAAACAATAGCCAATAGTAGTAGGTAGTGTACATGCACATGTAGTGCACATGCACTACACTATGTAACACGTGGCTCGCAGCTGCAAAAAGTGCAAATTTAATTGAATTTCTTGGCTGGCAGCAATTCAGCAAATGTCAGCTGGATTAGGTTAGCCCTTACTGTCACTTCCAGTTCTCCTCTTGTTCTCTCCAAGTCTTGCTGAAGTGATGATATTTGCTCTCTGATCCTCTCTGCTTCTCCATCCTGAGAGAGAGAGAGGGGGGAAAGAGAAAGGGAAACAGAAATAGAGAGTAAAATGAATTGAAAGATGTAATAAAAACAAGATGAGGGGGATAGATATAAAGAATAACAATGAAAAAGGTGAAATGTGTAAACTAAACAGAAAAAGAACATCTCCTTACTTTAATTTGGCAAGCAAGTTTGCTTTCCTTGTAGCTCTCAGTTTGCTGTATCTTTTCCATTTCTCTACAAATATCAAGAGCAGAGGGTCTAGCCTTTGGATTATTCTTAATGGAGTCGAGAGCAATCTTTGTGAGTGGGTGGTTCCTCCCGATGAGTTTAATGTGATTATGACGCCTCTCAGACTCTGGAACCGTCTTTGGGAAACCTAACTTCCCCTTCTCCTGTTCTGGGCCTGGTTGAGGGAACTTGTGTGATCTAGTTTGAATGACTATAACTCCGAGGGCAAATACGTCCATGGCTGGAGAGCAATCGGCTGGAATGTGTCTTACTTCGGGTGCCATGTACGCCATAGTGCCAGGGGCGGGGGTGTTTGCCATTCGCTGGAAAAAAGACGAAGACTCAACTTTAGACACCCCTAGATCAGTGACTTTAGCCCGATAGTCTCTACTGATTAGTATATTGTTAGAGGAAAGGTCACGGTGGACGATTGGAGGATGGAAAGCACCATGAAGGTAGGAGAGAGCCTTGGCAATATCATGGGTGATATTGACCTCAACAAAGAGAGGGAGGGTGGACGTACGGCGGAGTAACTGAGTAAGAGACTCATGCATCAGCTCCATTACAATCGCAGGGAGATTGGTCTCTTTGTCTAGCGTAATCCCGAGGAGTTGTATGACGTTCGGGTGACGTATCTGGCTCAGTTTATTGCACTCGTTAAAGAATGATTCCAATATTATCTGAGCCTCCTCATCTAATTTGTTCACAACTACATCAGTAGGGAAGAAGGAAGGAAGGAGCTTCTTAACAGCAACCGTCAGTCCGTGATAGTTGGCCAGTTTGACGACACCGTAGGCTCCTTCTCCTAGCTTTTTCTCCTCCATTATATCAATCCCGTGTATCATGTAGTCTTTGGGAAAGTTAGCTGGGAGTTTTACCATGCCACCGCCTCCTCCTGACGCCATTGTGATGATCCCAGTAAGAGCCTAAGAGGCCTCGACGTGTCTCTGAGCTGGGAAGAAGTGAAGCACAAAGAAAATAGCTCTCGGTGCAATTTTATGTTGGCAATTTGGCAAAAACTGCCAAAAAGATGATAATCTGAAGACCACGCCTATTCTCCGCCCAATAGATATATAACTGGGCCACACCCACTAGTTTAATTCTTACTGCGCATGCGCATAAGGTGGGGCAAAGAAGGCGTGGATACACGTGTTTTTTAAAATGGCGACACCATCTTCTTCCTCAGTTGAAAATGAGCCTCCCTCCTGCCCAGAGTGTAAGTCTAGGAATCTTGTCAAGGACGCCTGTGCCTCTGAAGATATGCTGGTTGGTTGTATATGATTCTTGGTACTTATTTTAATCCACAAACAGGTTTGTCATAATTGTGGACACATAGTGGAGGCTGGGTCTTTATGCAATCAATTACCATCACTACAGAGCAGTGGGATGGAGGGAATGAGGCAAACAGGAGCAGGAGGAGGGAGTAGTCGGTACCACGACTTTCTTATTATTATTGTTGTTATTATTATCATTTAGAGCTGAGATGGCTAAGTATGGGTGGCCGTCTAATTACGAACATCAGAGAAAAGTAAGTCACAACTTTTAATATGTTTTTGAGCTGCTTTAGACGAGACTGATAAGTCAAATTAATAAAATCTGCAATCATCTTGGAGTTAAGAATCATGATAAATCAATCGTAAGTTGTATGTTAATTACCTATCCTTTTTCAAGTGGAATATTTTTTGTGAAATATCTTATTTTTAGGTCTTGGATAGTTTGAAACATTCCTTCATGGTTGACCTAAAAGGACTAAATGATACCGGAATAGCAGCTGCGTAAGAATAGATAAATGGAATACATTGTTGTTTATTGTATTATGAATAGATTAGTGTTTCTTCTAGCGTCAGATCAATCTCTTGATTCGCTAAGAAAAATAAACGTTAGGATTGTTGTTGTTTAGTATCATTATGGTCATTATTAGGAAGTTGTTGGACTAAAGGAGAAACAACTGAGGAAATTAGTCAAAAAAATTAAGTCCCTACCACCATTTAGTGATACTGTAATTACAGTAAGGGAGTATATAGTTGTATAATAATGCATTGATTTATCTCTCCCGTTCTCCTGGTAGCCAAAGAAATCAACAGTACAAGATGTAGTTATTGATTATATTGACAAATACAGCATAGAAATGGACACTGAAACAAGGAAAGAATGCATATCCACTGCTTCCAGGTAAAATAATATGACATATCCTTCAGTATTATTCCTTCTAGTATGTTTGAGTTATTATTAAATACTGATTTGCAGAAATCTCTTGAGAAATGCTTAGCGTGAGTATATACAGCATTAAAGAATAATATTATGTCTATTTTGTTTTTTAAAAATTTGTTTCAAAGGTCGCATGGCTCGTCGCTATTATCTGCTATATTGCTACTGTCTGTTGATCATATCAGCAAAGCAAAACTTCATAATGATGTAAGTGATGACTAGGAGATTAAAAGGAAATTAAATTTTTATTAAAAGATCTCTCGTTCATTAGAAATTATATAAAGAATTTTCAGAGAAACTTGATGCTAAGAGCAGGTCTGTGTCCACAGTGAGTTGGAGGGTGTGGTCTTCATTAATTGCATTACCAATAGAATTCTTCTTCTGTTCGGAGACGGTTACTTCATTTAGCGAAAAAGATACCATCGCTAAGTAAAATTTAATTTGTTGAATTTAAAAATTTTCTTTTTAGGTGATGATCATGAGCTCAAAATGCTGACCATTACGAAATATTTGTCTACGATATTACAAAATAAAGCTTATCTTACTGCTGAGAAAAGAGTGTATGCTAGGGGCTCTATAATCATGTTATTTGTAGTTGTAATGTAGGTCTGATCATGAAAAGAAAGAAGAAATGGTGAGAGAGAGAGAGAGAGGGGGGTCAGTGAAGAGTTAATGGTTATATTATTATGTAGTTAGCTCGAGAGAAAGAAGAAGAAGCTGCAGGTCAGTCTCAGTCGTTACCATGTCAACCGTCGCCACGGGAACAGTCTCGGTTCCTTTATGCATCGGCCAGTAGCTGGGTTAGTCCTACACAAAATGAAATTATTTTGTAATGGAATTGTGTTGATGACCAGGTTTCCTACAAAGCATGCTAAGTGAACTAAACAGCATGAGCTTCATGAGCTGATAAGGACTACAATACAATACATGGCATTTAGAGCAACTTTAAAAATTCATTAAAAATCCAAATTTGATCTAAATCAGCTCAAACTTTCTACACAACATAAGAACATGTATATGCATCAGAAAAAATTATAAAAATGGAAAATTCTCTCCTTGCCATTTTTGGCGAAATTTGGCTCGAGACCATAGTACAGGGACTTTGACTGGATTTTGGAGCAACTTTAAAAATTCATTAAAAATTCAAATTTGATCGGAATCAGCTCAAACTTTCTACACAACATATAAACATGTATATGTATCAGAAACAATTATAAGAATGGAAAATTCTCTTCTTACCATTTTTGGTGAAATTTGGCTCGAGACCCTGTACTATAGTACAGGGACTTTGACTGGATTTTGGAGCAACTTTAAAAATTCATAAAAAATCCAAATATTATCAGAATAAGCTTAAACTTTTTACGCAACATAAAAACATGTATATGTATCAGAAACAATTATAAAAATGAAGAATTCCTTTCTTACCATTTTTGGGAAAATTTGTCTCTGTAACATTATTGTGATGGACAGTCTCTTACTCTCTCTCTCTCTCTCTTTTATGTTAGGTTGATGATGATGATGATAGTTTGAGTGATCTTGATGATGATGACATTGAGCAATATCTGGCTACCACTGATGAGGTAAGGCACCACTCATGAGTTCCACTGGTAATGTTAATTTTTGAAGGATAATACTTTCCCAAAACTATTTTGGGTATTGCTCAATGCCCCCTCTTATTAGCAGCTAGTACATGCGCATGCATGCACCGTATGTTTATTATTATTATTATTATTATTACGATAACTCACAGTTGATGGTGTCACTGCAGTCTAATTAAATCTACTTGTTGTATATTTTGTTGCTAATTTAATATAATCAGGAAAGAATCTCATCAAATTCCATTACATAATGTCTAATATGACACAGCAAATATTCTTCGCTCTCTCTCTCTCCCACCATAATTGGCCATGGAAATTGAAATCTTGAAACTTAGTTTTTATAAAATATAAACAAAGCTCCATTATATGTCCTCATGACCTCATTGATTTGTTTTGCTTAATTAAAGGTTATGATGGATTATCCTGTGTTAGCATTCAATGTTAAGCAGTATGGTTTGTTAGTATGGAGTCATGCCCAGAAGTAAACAAAATGATAATTAATGGAACTGACTCTAATTCTCATAGTAATTGCTAAAATTATTCATTACAAATATTATTATTATTATTAATTGCATATTTTGTGCCAATTGGACAGTTGCTATGTTGTCTTTTTGCCGAGGAAGTAAACCCTCCTGTTTAGACTATTGTGACTATGCACTGGCCATTATGTATGCATAGTTAACTCATTGTCTCCATACTGAGAACTATAACCTTAGTAGAAGTTGTAGGTAGTATTTCGTTACCACGCATAGTGCAGCAAGTCTGCATTTTTCTTGCCTTTGTTTTGTTACCATTGCAACCCAATGGTGTATGTGTGGGTGATACTGGCTGTGTGGTGGTACAATGATGATGATTTATTGTCTATTGTAGATTGAAGACAAGAAGAAGATGATGCCCCTAGATTGATTTCAACTCTCTTCTTATTTTTCATCTTTTTATTCAATAATAATAATAATAATCAGTTATAAGACAATTATTATTGTACATAAACACACACGCTCACAAATGTTGCATTAAAATAACAATAACAATAATAATGATAATTAATAATAATAATAATAGTTATTTTGGAACAACGGCCACGACAATGATAGCAATAGCCAATAGTATAGCAATAGTCCACAGAACTGGAGAATAAGGAATAGTAATAATAATATTAGGATCATACATTATTTTAAATATTAACTCACTGCAGCTGCACCATGTCTTTTCTTTTCTTCTCCTTTCTTCAATCCGTTGGGTTTCTCTTCTAATTCGAGCATCAGCTCTACTAGTACCGGCACTGATATCATCAATCAATACTAACAGCAATTATTAGTATTATTATTATTATTTTCATTTTTAATTCTCTCACCATTGTGTTCCGAGACTTCATCTTGTATGGCTAGTCCGACCTTTTGCTGTCGTCTCAAGGCAGCAGATATGGCATCAAGTCCACGGTCTTGCTCTAAACGAAACAAAAAGAAAAATTGTTTAAAAAAGTATAACGACTGGCTCTATACACGTAGTATTATTAATGACATAATTTCATTAGAAGCAAAACCACAATGAATTTAGTTTGTAGTAAGTGATGAATGACGTAGCATGAATCTATCATGATTCTGTCATACAGCAGAGTGTATAATTACAACAGTAGGTGATGCAACTGAGATAAACTCTAAGACTCAATTAGATCCACATCCTATTCCCCACAAACAATTAGGTACTAATGATATTCAGTATTACATCATGCTAGTATTAATAATACAATACTTGATGCTTTCCTCTTACGCTATACAACTCTACCTGCTATCATTTGTCTCTGCTGCTGTTGCAGTTCGTCTGGCGTCATCCTCTGACCAATTCCAGGACCAACTCCGCCCAAGCCGGAGGAATAGGGATGTGACTGAAATGTGTCGTCATGGTCACCGAAAGAGCGTGAGGAACTATCACCGATCCTATTGAACTGATCCAATCTGTGTGGAAAGGAAGAAGTAACAATTCTACTCCATTCAATCTACTTGTCTGTTAGTTGATCCAGCTGTTTCTGTCTCTGAGCCCGCTCCCTTTCAGACCTTTATCAAGTTAAGGAAAGGATTAGTGTTGAAATGATGTGCGTGAACGGAGTGCCAACATGCACCATCATTCTACAACAAGGCATCGTGTGTGTGTGTGTGTGTGTGTGTGTGTGTAATAGTAATGTATATAGTAAGAGTAATGAAGAAAGAGGGTATGTGTGTGTGTGTGGATACAGTGAGTGGTGTTTGAGTTGTCTCTTTAGTGAATTAAGTCCTTGCTTGTATTCGCTCATCATCGAAGCCACATCGTCACTCCTCACCTGAAATATGATATTAAATACTACTAATAATAATGAAAGTAAATATGAATGTTGAACTATAATATATTCTGAAACCATTCCCAAAGTTGAAATGCTTATGAATGCATTGTAGTATATAATTTGCTGATTCATTATTTCAATGGGAAAGGAAAACTCATTTACTTTAGAATTGGCAGGGATGTTAAAAGTGACAGCCAAAAACAACTTGGTGATATCAAAATGTACAGGATACAAAACCATTAGCAAATTATTATCATCAGCTGATGTGTAATATAAATGTACTACTATAATCATCGTTATAATAATAATAATAATGTCTATAAATGTCTGTAACATGTGACTAAAATTATGATGGTGCTCTCCCTTCCACCCACTCCCTTTCCCCTCTCTTGGAAGCCAAAAAACTGAGAGAGAGAGAGTGAGACAGTCCAAATTAGGTTATTATAGAAGAGATCTGAGTTAGTTTTTATTGACTTCCTCCTCCACACACACTCACTTGCTCTACTTTCTACACTTTGACTTTTACTTTTTTGAGTAGGTGTCAATTAAAAATCAATGAAATAATCGGTAAAATTTAACAATTTGTACTTAAATCTCTTTTCAAGATATATAATAACTTGCTACAGGGTCTGAAGTTCTATAATGAGTACAGTTTCATCTCATGCATGATCTCTTGATTCAATCAATGATTCCATATGTGATTCAATCAATGATTTCTTCACGCGTTACCCTTCTTTAATTGAATCGTGATTAATTGCATTGTAATGTACAGTACAACTGTCACAGTCCTAATAGGTTCAATATACACCAACACTTTCACAAATACGCCATTAAATATAACATAATTTATGTACAAATAATATATTATTAATTATTTACTTGTGCCCCACCCCCTTCAAGCCTAGATTCAATCTGATAGCTTAGATCTATAAGGTAGTCATAGTCACTAGACCTGTAGAGAGGGAGACAAAAGAAAGGATTACCACATCTTCTACACAAAATGAGTTATTTCTTACCAAGTATCCTGAGCTCTGTAAGCCATTTCTATTTTGGTGGGAGGAGTCGATACGCCCTTGGATCGTATACGGAGATATTATAAAAGATGTCATGACTTGAATCAATATACGGAGTTATGCGGTATCCCGTTACACTACATTTAAAGTGGTCACTGGTCAGTCAGTGGTCACACAAAATACACACAAACTGAGTCAGAAGTCAGAGAGAGACCGTTTACCTTCCAAGGGCTCTCAGTTACCATCTGTTGCTACAAGATAGAAAGGAAAGAATCAAAGGAAAGGTGAGTACCTCCAGTAATGTCTACCCTGCCGGTTGTACAGGGAAAGAAAGACAGACCATTCTTTACATTACATAATTCTAGCATTGAGCTGGTTATTGTACCTCTGTGTGTTTGGTGGTGGTGGTATGGCTTAAAGCTTAGGGCAGCTAATGGCTCTCATGCTTTGACTGAAAACTGAAACTTAGTCTTGACACATAATGTCAACATTAACTGTATATACAGAGTTCCCCCCCCCTCTCTCTCTCTCTCCTTCCTTCCTCTTCTCTTTCTCTCCCTCTATTTTATGCTTACTTGGTACTGCATGTACCGTATCATTTACATTTAATCTTTTTGCTAGTGTTAGGGCTGAGACTATATTTGTGCATGTTCTTGCATCATTCTCTCTCTGATACCCTTCTTTCTTTATCCTTTTCCTTCTCTCTCTTTCTCTAGCGATCACAATGGCCACTTTAGAAGAAGACATGACTCAAAGCTCTCCTTCGCCTAATGCAGTCGACTATTCATCAAAAGACAGGACCATAGTTACAGAAGGTTAGCGCTTTCCCTTTCACCCATCATTTCTCTCCGTAGCATATATGTATGCGTACATTTATCGTCTCTCATCTATTCTGGTCGTTTTTTATTGTTATTAAAATATCACTATTATTAAAATTTCATTATTATTACTACTATTACACATGATTATCTGCTAGTATGATATCAGTTACAGCAGTCATTTGTGTGTTAGTATTCATTGGGCTACAGGAAATGTACTGTTTGCCACATGTGCCACTTCTTTTTGTCCCCCCCCCCCTCTCTCTCTCTCTATCACTATCCATCTCTTGTTACTTTCCCTCTCTCTTGGCTTTTTCTTTTTGTCACTTTCCCTAATCTCTTGTTCCTCTTTCTTTCTTCATTTCTCCTTCCTTCCATTTATCTATCTATCTATCTCTCTTGTCACAAGCATTCTTTTCTACATTTTCATGGCACAGCCTTTGTGTTCATTCAAGGGAAGTCATTAATAAGTTTCTTTGGAGATTGATTGCATATAATTGCCTTACCCTTTGTACCTAATTGGTTTTGAGAAAACATTTTAAAGTTGGGCGATGATAATCTTGTTTATTTGGCCTCTTTCTGATCTAATTTATCCTTTAAAATCGCTTTCTTATTACCTGTGGTGGGATGGTAGAGAGAGGGAGAGAGACAGACAGTGTGAGTGGTGAAGTACTTGTCCATATACAAGTCTACATTGTACTTTACATATTTTTCATTAATTCATATGCATTGCTATTTTGTACAAGTACAGGCACATCGACATGCTATTAACAACCTTTTTGATCTTCAAGAACAATAATTTGTTTCTTGTATTAAATGCATCTACATGTGTACATAGTACATAGTACTGAGCCCTGCTGTGCTAATGACCCAAGACTCATAAATTGATGGTCAGGGCCAAAAGAGTGTTAAAAAGAAGAGAACAAAAGAAAAGAGAGAGGGAAACAGAACTTGAATGCATGTGCATATATCACTGAATAGAAGGCGTTATATTGCTTTATAAGCTCTACATACCTTGTAAATGATAATACTTTGTTGTACAGCACCAGTATCCTTATTTCATAGTTGTTACTATGAATGGTTTCAGTTTGATCACTACAGTCTATTGACTGCCTATACACTCAGTGTTCCAGTAGCAGTCGTATTGGTGGTTAGCTCTGAGGGTTCAGTCTTGTGGTGGTTGGCCTAATTGGTTGGTAGTTGAAAGGAAGACTTTGAGCAACTTCTGTTTATATTGTTTGTCCTTATGGGAAATGTAAAGAGATTCTGCAAGAGATGGAGATGGCGTGTGAGAGAAGGGGGAGGAAAGTTTAGTGATTGTGTGGGTAGTGGTGTGTGTACCGAGTCTAATTGATGATGTTGTTAGTGTTATTTCCATTCTTCTCTCTCATTTATTCTCTCTTATACCGATTGTCATTGTCTTTAATCTTTCTTTCTCTCTTTTACTTTAGAACTTGAAAAGAAGTTAAAGTTCAGAGCTGAGAGGGACTCACTCATTCAGAAGAATATCCTTCCAGGTCAGTCAGTTAGTGACTCAATGATATTCAGGGGTAGGGAAAAGCCAGGCCAGTGATAATGGTATTAATGTGAAAACTGGTCAGCACATTTTCAGGAAGTTAATCTTCCTAATATGTAAAGGAGAAGTGTCGATCGACAGATCATTCTCTTAAAATTTTAAAAGCCTGTTTTTTATTTATGTATGTTTTATCATTGTACATGTATGCATGTATAAAGATACGACGTGTACATGTACATGTGCATGCATAGTACGTGAGTCAGACTAAAGAGATATTTGCTGTACTGTCAGTTATCATTGTTTATTGTTTAAAGTATTGTTATTATTGTTTGTATAGCTCTCCATATCCCCCTCTACATGCATCAGTATCTCTCCTTCACACATATGTACATGTACATGTATGCATTGTATGTCTCTGTTTGTAATGAAAACTGATCTTGTTTCATGTAAAATGAATAGATAAGACATCGTGTTCATATGCTGAGATTATATACTAGTACACATACATGTATATGTACATGTATGCTCAATCCCACTCCATGAGCATTACAGTGTAACAGTGTATTAACGCCTTGTGGTGGAATGTCTGGTTATGATCACTCATAGATTGTTGCTCAATCGTGTGATCTTATTCAATTTTCTCTACTACGCTATAATAATAATTGACAGTCTGAACACTCACATAGCACTCATCAGTTGACACACGTACATTTACAACCAGTGTTCTACTATACTTTTTAATTATTCCTTTCCTCTTCTTGTAGCTGTATCAGCTTCATCAATAATACTGGCTCAGACACAGCAGCTAGCCAGGGCAAAGGTAAAGGAACTTGTTCATTAATGTCTACACACATTGAGTCTTTGTGGGTTATTCAGTCTGTGTGGTTTCTACATGTGCATTTCCTCTTTCACATGCTTCTACATGTTCTTCAATTCCTCTCTCTCTCTCTTCCTTTACAGACAGCTGATGTATTACAACAGAAATTGAGGGACAGAGTCTCCAGAAGTGAATTATTAAAGAGAAACATATTACCAGGTCAGTTGATGCATACATTGCACAGTCCAGTAAACCATAATACTTAATTACTACACAAACCAGTATCTTAATAGCATATCTGTGTGTCTATAGCATTATACAATATATAGGCCTAATACTAAATTATGTTGTTCAGAGTAGTAACCTTTAATTATGTAATACAATCCCATATATTATTACTACACTCAAGCTTTGTAGTTCTTGTTCATACAGTACAGCATGTGTGTGGTGGTGGGAAAATGAGTATCAGTGTCAGCTGTGTGTTTTTTCTTGGGAATTTTGAGCCTATTAGCAAAACACTGTAGTCTTTCATTGAGTTCATTTAGTAGTACATACCTTGATATCTTTTTCTAAGGCACCATATCCCATTACACTATAGCATATCCCCGTCATAATACAATATACCAGTCATTTACTGAATTACCACCAAATGAGCTTCAATTCAGAGGAGGGTTTACTTTTAACCTTATAACATCATCTGGCTTATGGTCAGCTCCCACTATGTAACACCTGTCTGGGAAGACAAATTGTTTTTAGTATGTGCATATCAACATGTATATATGCATGTACATGTACATTTATATATGCATGTACATTTATATGTACATGTACATAATATATACACGTACATATGCACGTACACTGTACATGTATACTGTGTGTGTGATGCATGCGTCATGGATGTATGCATGTACATGTGTATCATGTAAATCAATTTACGGACATCATACTTAAAATATTTATGCTACAATAGTTTATAATGATAGCCTGTCAGTTTGTCAACACTGGGTGTATACATAGTGTGTACCCAGTAATCATCATTTGATATAGTTTCGGTATCATCAAGTGATACTGTAATACATGTACTGTAGCTGGCAATACATGTACATGGATATTGTACACTTTCAGACTGTCTTCCAGTCATATTTACACTTCATTTGACCTTTCTGTCCATCAAAAGGAAGTAAAATGTTATTTTGCCAATGTCCTCCTATAGCTTAATTCATTAATATATATTGGATATCAGCTCTTTACTCTCTCTGTGATTGTGTTTAGTAAATAAATCCTTACGTAGGTAAAGTGTAATTGCATTAGGATTGTATTTACTAATTGTTTCTCTTGGTATTGTTATAAGGCGTTATTATAAGTGACATATTTATCATGTCACTTTAATACAATTACTGTACTATATGGGGGATGAGAATGAGAGAAAATTTAAAACAATGTACTCATTCTCTCTCCCTCTCTTTCTCTCTCTTGTTCTTTAGACATCAAAGATGTTGTTGATCCTTCTCTTCATGCTCAACACTTGCAGCTACAGAAGAAAAGACTCGCCGATGATCTCAATGACAGAATAGCCAACCGCCCCGGGGTACTAGAACTAGTCAAGGACAGGATACTAGAACCGACAAACCTTTCACTAGCAGAAGCTGCTTTATCAGTTGGTACATCAATGAAATCCCCACCACAGCAGCAGCTTCAGTTTTATTCAGGACCCCATGATCACAAACTATCAGAATCAACAAGTCCTCTAGCGTCTTCTCCTGGTGATCCTTATGGTGAGTCCTCATCTCCTCCTTGTCTTACGTCCCCTCCTACTGTTGGTCATCTTCACAGTAGTCTGGGTCGTCCACCATTGAAGCAGAGTACTAGTGATGTTGGTAAAGTTCCTTCTCCTAGTCAGTCTAGGAAGAAACAGCACAAAGGAAAGTATAGGAAGCTTCGTTATCACGAGTACGTACCGCCGACCAAAAGTAACGGGAAGGGTGGGAAGACCACGCCCTCAAAGCCTCCGAAACTAGACACGCCCTATGCCCTCCTCCTTCAACAGCAGCAAGTGTTCCTACAGCTACAGGTTCTTCAGCAGCAGTATCCTAACGGGGTCCTTGCTCAGAAACTACCCGATCTACTCAAGAACATGCCGGCCTCCATGACAGAGAAAGCACAAGCTATGCTGAAGCCTAAAGTCCCTGGGATTGAGCCCCAGAAGACCAGCGTAGCCAGCGGTGCGTCTGTGACTAAGACGCACGAGATACCGGACGATATAAGGGTTCATGGTCCCAATGGGACGGTGATAACAGTCCGACTGGACGAACTAAAGGTGAACAGTTTGAAATCGACTTGCAAAGAGATGAACCTCATTGTCTCTGGAAAGAAAGTCGAACTGATAGAGAGACTGTTGGAGCATAGTAATGGAGTCCTCCCTTCTTCAGTATTACAGGATCAAAAGAAGCCAACAGGGCACCAGGTCAGCCAGGGCCAGAGTTTTGAGTCTCAGATGTCCAACACGACCTCACCCGAGTCTCCCTCTCCATCTCCTGTGTTCCAATATTCTGCAAAAGCTCTTGGATCTGCGTCTTTCTCTTCTTTCTTTCAGTCAAAGGAGAACGGAGGAATATCCACCATGGAGGGATTAGATGTTACTCCAGAGTCTTTAGCAAAATTTGCGAAAGGTCCTAACCCTCCTCCGTTAAAGGCTGACTCTAAACATTTAGCGTCGGTCAAACTATCACAAGTTGTCCCTGAGGCAAGCACTGGCTCCTCCTCAATTGGAGGACAAAGAAACTTTAATTTCTCCAAGTCTCTTCCTTCTTCTCCACAGCAGGTTTCACCGACTGGTTCTACCAGTGACCTTATCAATGACCTCATGGAACAGTCCCCACTACCAATGCAACAACCCAACCAGACCACACTATCCCCCGACTCTCTACTTGTATCCTCCTCCTCCTCCTCCCGTTTCTCTCCCTCCCATCAAACCATCACCAGTAGCCTCACTGTTACGCCAGTCGACCACAATACCTACCTATCGACCGGTCGTCACGGGCGGTGCTCCCTCCCCAACCCCCCTCCTCCTTATCCCGGGCTGCAACACAATCACTCGTTTGATCAGGTCTCCTCCAATTACCTTTACCCCTCTCACCGCCACCCTCCCAATCATGTTCCCAGACTATCAACCATACCTGGTCAACCCCAGCGCTCGTACAGTGTCTCTGGTCCATCTTTAGGCCAGCGGTCGGCGAGTCTTGATATTCCTCATGGTCATTCTCACCTCTCTCAACAGCAAAGCACTCTATTGGCTCAGATCAGTAAACCAGCTATTCCTAATAATGATAGTTTCCTCTTTCCTGCTGATGAGGGGGCACCAGCCTCTGATCTAATGGATGTGAGTTAAGAGAGAAAGAGAGAGCAAATATTTATTTATATTTAGTATGCGTACTTTAACTGTTTGCTAATTGTCAAGGCATGGTTTCCCACAGAATCTTGGCTTAGTGCTCAGAAAATGATTAGCAAAAGCCTGTCAAAGTCCCTGTACTGTAGTACAGGGTCTCAGGCCAAATTTCACCAGAAATGGAAAGGAGAGAATTCTTCATTTTTATAATTTTTTTGATACATATACATGTTTTTATGTTGTCTTTCAAGTTTGAGATGATTCCGATCAGAATTGGATTTTTTATGAATTTTTTGAAGTTGCTCCAAAATCGGGCAAAAGTCCCTGTACTATAGTACAGGGATTTTGGCCAAATTTCGTCAAAAATGAAAAGGAGAGAATTCTCCATTTTTATAATTTTTTCTGATGCACATACATGTTCTTATGTAGTGTAGAAAGTTTGAACTGGTTCTGATCAAGCTTGGATTTTTTACGAATTTTTAAAGTTGCTCAAAAATAGATTCAAAATCCCTGTATTATAGTACAGGGACTTGGGCCAAGTTTCGTCAAAAATGAAAAGGATGCTGTTTAGCTCACTTAGCTCGCTTTGTGGGAAACCCTGATGTACTAATTGATGCTGTGGGTGTGTCTGGTTTATTTCTATTAATTAAATTGGCATTAAACAGAAACCTCTTTCTAATAACATTTAGAGTCCACCTAAGTTGTAACTCGCTAATATGATTTGTGATTGGCCTTGAGCCAAAATCATGACCACCCTAACAACCGATGCTTATGAATTACAAAGGACAGGAATGCTCATGCATTTCCTAGTGGTTGCTGTTAATATCTAAGATCACTGTCTACTCTAATAATCTATTAAAATAGTAGTACATGTCCTATGTTAGGATATCTGTCATTGCAGTGTATACACAATGAGAACACGGTGTTGCTATTTTTAAAGATGTACAACGTTTACTTTTGCCTTGTACACAATCTATGCATGACTTAATTACATGTATATAGTACATGTAGAAAGTTCATATATGCACATGTATATCTTTAATGTTGCTGGTTGAGTTTATATACATGTACATGTACATGTATGTAAGAATGTGTTTGTTTGTTAGTGCTAAGATGGTCCCATGCATGCGTGGGATGATAGTGTACATGGTAAGGTGTTTGTTGATGCATCTCTCTACTCATCATTTCATCATGACATGTTAGCTTGTTAAGGTATTGTTATTATTATTAATTACTCCATGCCTTCTTTGTATTGGCAGTTGGTGACATTGTACATATAAAACTTATTACTCTAAATTTACCTTGTGTCTTCCTTTCCATTGGCATTGAAAATAATGTTTACTGGTTGGGTGGCCAAAACTCTATTGTGAAAGGAATTGGCTTATGCTTTAATTTAATTAGCATAAGAGTACATGTATGTACATGTACACATTTAGAATTTCTTTAGCCATTATTTTAATTTTTTTTTTTGATTTTTAGATTGATCACAATCAGCTAAGCGATCTACTAGATATTTTTGATCAAAATGAACAAGGTTAGGATACTACTGTATTTTTATTTTTATTTTTTTTACATTAAACTCCATCAGTTTGTTTTTGCTTTAAGGGAAAAATGAAACAAGCGTAACAGTGTAAAAATATTCCTATAATTGTTTTCACCACCTTGCAAGTACAGCTGGGTTCTTATTAAGACTTATGAAGGTTCTCTCTACCTTCTAATGCTTCTAGAGAAGTCTTTAGACAGCACCTCTATGTTCTTTCGCTGTTAGAAAGATCATAATTTTGTCCCATGTGCAAGCCGCCATTTTGTTTGCTGTGACCACACCCACTTAAGTAGCGTGGGCGGGTGGTTGCTAAGGCTTGTTATTTCTCCAATACAACGTGTATAGAAGAAATGTAAGTGTTGACATACAAATATATATATATCGCACGTGGGTGAAATCAATTATAGGACGACCTGGGAGCTACGCCCCCAGGTCGTAAAAAATCTGACAGTAAATATTTGTTTTTGCGTAACAACAATACTGCTAACGACGTTATGACTGCTTCATAATTAATCCTGATTGTTTGTTTATTTTCTCAAAAATAATTAAAATCCTCTTTTTATCATTTTTAGGTCTTGCATTCGGCTCTACGGCGAGTGCCAGTAGTCAAGGAACCTTTAATACGGCACCAAATAACGGACAACTCTCTGCCCACATGCTCCCCCAGCATCACCAGGACCACGAGAGCTTGCTGTACTCACAGCAGCAGCAAGGACTGCTGGATATTGGTGGGTTCTTGGGATCTTCGAGGGACGTCAAACCAGGGACTGGCGCCACGAACCACGCCTCCATCTATAACGACTTGAGTTGGCTAAACGTTGAGAGCGGAGCCGCTGCAGGAATGTCGCAAGGTTTCATGCACGACGTTCAGATTAGCGGAGGAGGAGGAGGAGGGGGAGGACTGGGTTTCCAACCTTACGAACACTTTCAACTTGGACTAGAGGATTCCTCTGGAGTACTCAAAAGCTCCAACGGAAGCATCAACGCACTCACCATGAGTACAGAGATGCAGCATCCATTCCTTGAGTCAAGTCACTGTGGTTCCGGGGCCATTTATGGACAAGATACTGCTCTACTTAACCTGGACTTAACCAGTTAATGGGCCCTGCCTCTCTCTTATAATCTGTTGTGTGTGTTACGATCAATAACTTCAATGTTCTTCCCCGAGCTGTTGTAGCAGGCCTCATTATAAAAATATCATTTGCCGTTTCTCTGTTTTATATTCTCCTTGCTGCTGCCAGCTGTTTTACACCCTCTCTCTCTCTCTTTTCTTTCTCTTGAATCTCCATTCGTAGTTTTTAGATTTATTAGTGATTATACGCTAATCATATTTTACTAATGAACTTGTGTAGACTATACTCTCATACTCAGTCTCTCTTTCTATAATCATTCCTAATTTAATAATAATAATTATTATTATTTATCTTTCTCTTTCTTCTCCCAGTGTATATCTTTAGCTGTTTCTTGTTTTGTTTGCTGTTGTTGTTTGTTTGTTTGTTGCCATATAATGCAGAAAAATTAATAACTTTTGAACAAAAATAATTTTTAAAAAACTTTTCGATTTTAAATGCTTTAACAAACAATTATGCACAATGAGATCAAAAATAACAAAAAAATCGATAGACAAACTTGCCATAAAAAGAAATAAAATATAACAACAATAGTTTTAACTGAGACATACAAATTAATTTAATAAGTGGTGGGTGTGGCTACACATCTCTAGCTAGCTAGCTAGCTCTACTCTTCTCAAGTTCTTGTTCTACAAAGTCGTCAAACAGGCTTGGCCAGGCTTCCGACTCGTCGTAATTACTAAAATCCTCTTGAACGGTCGTTACAAAAGGGAGGAACATGTTCCAGGTGTCTCTAGATATACCTTGTATGGAATTGTCCCGTAAGAATTGAAACCATCTCTCAAGAAGGGGCGGGGTCTTGTAAGTGAAGACCAGTTCCCATAAAGGTATCGCCATGTCGACCGGTAGTGTCCGTTGTCCTAGACCGTGGTCGAGACCAAATGAAAAGGTAAAGTTGTAAAGCTCACGGAATGATTTAGAAGACTCTTTTGTCTCTCTCACTAGATCGGGGAAGCGTTTCTTTAAAGATGAGGCGTCAGTAGCTGTGAGTCTCTGACAGCCGTTAACAAACTCTTCTCTTGTGAATCGACACATTTCCTCCGCTTGGAATTTCCATGCTAATACGAGAACGACAAAATCGGTCGGGTCGACGCCAAGGTCCTGACAGAATCGCTCCATCCCAGCGGCCAATATGGCATCCTCTGTCTCGTCTTTGTACTTTTGAAAGAATTTATTGAGAGACTCGATAGAAGAGGTAGAGGATCTACTCCTTCTATCAGGTAGAGGAGGAGGAGGAAGAGAGGAGGAAGAGTTACGAGGAGGCAGAGGGGCAGGAGGGCGAGTGGTGTCTGTGTGTCGTTGTTGTGGCTGCGTTCCTTGTACCGAGTGAGAGTATGATCGTGGAGGAGTGGACGAGGAGACTGGATGGGAGTTCGAGGAGGATGAGGTGGGTCTGTCCGTCTTTGAGTAACTATTGCTACTACTCCCAAGGAAACTATTGTCTTTGGACCCTTTCTGACCCATTCCTCAAAGATAAACCCGGAAAGAGATAGGGAGAAAAGAGAAAGCAACAAGTGGTGACACGTAATTTACTGTAATTATGTTTTTGAAAGAAGTTATTTTTTATACGCATAATTAGAACGAATAACATTACAAATAGATTTAATACGGCATATTAATTAAAAGTAGCCAGTGAATAATTAATAAGTTTGCAACAGCATAGCATGCAGCAGGTTTTTGCATTAAAATTAAATTAAATAATTTTAGCATAGAATATGTTTCCTGGTGATGGGAGCTGATCAGAGCTGGAGTTCTTTAAATATCCTTCGTTAGTAAAGCCAGCACAGGATGGATTAATGTCACAAAGATAAGCAACTTGGAACAGGTTCCTTGTCCAGGGACCAGCATTGCCACCAAACAGGTTATGACCACCAATATCAGCATTCATTATCTGATAATAGCGCTGGCTGTAATCAGCCATGTACTTATCCATTAGACTCTCTGTCATTGACATTAGATCACCACTAGGAGATGTTGGGTAAGATTTAACAGTGTTACTAAAAGTCTG